CAAAAACAATGATGAGTAGATGAAGAAAATGGAAGATGATAATGTCTGATCCAGATGTGGGGTGCAGAGGACCACAGGAAGTAAGCCACAAAGGGAAACATTGAAACCCTTACAGAAAACCGCTACTCCACAGATAACACTGTTTACAGATGGGAGTTTGCGGAAAGGTGACCAAGCAGCCACTTGGGCCTTTATAATGAAAACTAATTCAGGTGAAGTACTTTGCAAGCAAAAGGGTGCAATACCAGGTACAGCCTGCTGAGGAAAAGGCCATTTGTTGAGGGACTTCCTTTTGCTAAAAAAGGAAAAATAGCACACATCCGTATTATTACTGATAGTGATTATTATTAAAAAGCGGGTAAAGAAGAGCTTAATAATTGGGAACAAAGGCAGTTCAGAAATGTGAAAGGTGAAACGCTGACACCTGCCCATCTATTGAGGGTCTTATTGCAGAGTTAAAGGCAGGCATGTAGAATGGAATCATGTCTGTAGCCATATAGATAAGATATAATTTAACTATCAGGGTAATAGAGAAGTTTGACCTTGCTTAAAGCACGGGACGAGTTAACCACCGGACTGCCATATTCCCTAGAATATGGAAAAAGGGTGGAAGCATTCACGTACCACCTGAAGAAGCTCCTTAGGTTGTGCGTGAATTACACAGCAGTTTAGGCCATGTGGGCCTATTTCAGATGAGGAACATATTGTCTCCACAATAAAATCCTCTTACCAAAACTGCGATTGCACCTACAACACACATGGTCAACATGTCTTCAATGTGTAGAGGTGGATGGGTTTAAGAAAGTTCATCCTGAGCATCTTAAAATAATAGAGGAAGGACCACTAACCATTTTTAGTGCTGACATAAGCAGGTCCTTTTCTGACCCGCACTCCCAGTGGGAATAAGTATTTCCTTGTGACCTTTGATAAATGGAGGGAGTCATAAACATGTTTATCCTCTGACCAGAGCAACTGGAACACAGTGTCTGCTAAAATGGCGGAACATATAAGTATTTTTCCTAAAAACTGAGAAAATAGGAATGGATAATGTCACTCACTTTAAAAATGAGAAAGTTTTTGTCACCCTTGCAGGATAAAGGGAATCACACCTATCTGGTCTTTACCATATAAGTATCAGGCATTAGAGCAGCCAAAGAGTGGAGTATAAAAAACTGTAAAACAAATTGGGACATTCCAATCAATTTGACAAGGCTGAATATATTCCTATAAGTATGGAAAAGCTACCTATAGGGCAAAGGTCAGGTCATATCTAACTATCACACCTTTTCCGTTTAATTCAGAAATCGTGTATGGGTGACCAGAAAGGGGCAAAGTCCAGAGAAGGGTTAGCTTCAAACTAAATCAGAAGGTTTGGATACAGTGAAGTCAATTTCTGGGAAAGTAGTTTCACTCCAGAAGAGAGGACCGGTTCACCCAAGCCAACTGAGTTTAGAATCCAGATAGGAATATGACTGCGGCCTACCCATCCACTGTTGATGCTATCAGTCTCACATCACATGACATGTTTTGCACACACACGTGGCAGTTAATGTGCTTTCTTCCACAGGAGAGGATGGCTTTTTGTGGGATCTTCCCGCAATAAGTTAGAATTTGTCTTGGTGAATTCTGTACCAAGGGATATTTGATAGAGCAAAAGAGGGAATTTAAATCTGAGTAACAAGCAATAGCTCCAATGCAAAGGATTTAGCAGTAGAACTGTTAGAATCTATAGTGAATTATGCAGAAAGATGGCAAGACGAAACTCTGTCTATTAGCATATGGATCATTAGAGCTTGGATGGAGAATACCTCAGTATCAAAGAGGAAATGGAAAATAACCTTTATATTATTTTTCTCATTGTTTTTTAACTTTACACTATTAGTTTTCTTTTCAGTTATTTTTAATTGATATACGCTTACACCCTAAAAAGAGTATTCATTTAAATTAGATTTTTTGAATACATCTCTCCTTCTTTTTTGCTGGTTCTCACACAGCATGAAGGTGTAGGGCTGTCAGGTCGTTAAACTGATAAGAGTAAATTATGGCCCAGTGCTTTCTGCCATTTAAAGGCCAACTGAGTAAGAGGAGAAACAATCACCTTGCTGTGTATAGAAATTACAGAGCAATATGGAATACACGACCCTCTTGAGAAAACCCTTGGGGAAGTTTTTATTTTAACTGAAACAACTTTTTATGAATCAGAGAAATGATTTAAACTTGATTTTAGCTATATTGTTGAGATTAATACCTCAGCAATCTACCAAGAGGATTTGAACCTGCCTAGCGGGGAAACTTCAGTCACAGTGCCTCAAGTGAAGCTAAGTAGACTCCTGGACCCAGAAAACCTGTGCAGAAGGACCGGAAGGGGCAAGCGGTGAAAAGGAGGAGACTCGTAAGAGAAAAGAGCGATCTGATTCAGAGGTCTCCCCGGGTGCCCAAGCCAAAAAGATGTCCTTGCTGTCAATAGACATTCCAGAGGAACATGGAGTACCAGACCCCTTGGAAGGATTCCTGGGGGAAATTGTTTCAATTGAAACAATTATTAATGGATCAGAGGCTGAGTCACCTATGACCCCGCCAGAGAAGGAGGATGATTCTTCCAGCTCTGTGGGACAGGCTGCATCTCTACCCGCTGAGCCACTCAGATCGCAGTGGATTTCCCAGAAAAGGATGACGACTACCTGATAACTGCATGGTCAGATATCAGACGCCAGGTAGCAGCAACCCTACCTACCCCCTGCCACTGGTCCACTTCACCATCTCCAACCCGGCGACTTCGTGCTGGTCAAGGACTTCCGGAGAAAGAGCTGGAAATCCAACCGTTGGCAAGGTCCCTACCAGGTGCTCCTCATCACCCAGACAGCGGTCAAGGTCACCGAGAGAGCCACGTGGGTCCACGCCAGCCACTGCAAGGTCGTAGTCACAGGCCAGGAGAGACGGTAGAAACAGACGACAACAAGTGATGTGTCCTAGTCACCAACGGAAGACGACAACAAGTACCACCAACACCACACTGGCACCACATACACCTAATCTCACACTGCACACACAGGATGTCATGAGCCAGTGCCAGCTAAGCTGTTTCATATGCCTCTGGTTCCTCGTGTGTGCTATCATTGTGTGGGGACTCATTGACCTTGTCACAAAGTCATGAGCGATTATTGACGAGGTCTAAAAAATCCATAACAACTGTCGACCGAGTTATCTGGTTTTCGTTTGGAGATGTCGTCGAGCGAAAAACTGCAACCCCTCCATGGTCAGGGTCAAGGATATACATCAGATAGCAACATGGATTTAGGAGTCTACAACAGATGGGCCCCTCGCCCAAGGACATTCCTGTACGGTACTATGTTTTCGGTGTTTTTTCACACCAGGTTCATCAAAGGGTCGTCCTGATTACACATACTGAAGAACTTTTCATGATATTGATGCATGAAGTTTTACGGATGTAATATGTATGAGTTTTTACGATTTTATCTGTTGCCAGTTTGATAAACTTTGCGTTTGAAAAGAGGGTGTTGAGATCTTCATATGAAGTGAATACTTAAAACGAAAGTTAATTGAGATCATGGTATGAAGTGAATACTTAAAAAACGAAAGTTAATTATAAATCATACATGATCAATCATATTCTTGTATAAACCCATAATGAGAATGCTTCTTGACGGTTTTTGAATATGTATCTATGCTTACAATTTTTTCTGTTGCTATTTGAGAACTTTGCGTTTTGAAAAGAGGGTGTTGTGAGTTTTCATAGTATGTTTAATACTTAAAAACGAAAGTTAGTTATAATCAAATATAATCAATTATATTCTTGTATAACTCACAATGAAAATGCTTCATATTTTAGGTTTTCTATAGTTACAGTATAAACAAAACAAAGTGGGTTGTTTAGGTTGAGTTTTCTTCCTCTCCTCTGGCAGCAGTCCACAGGGAGGGGGGGGGGGGGGCTTCACACTAAGGAGACACATTAAGAGGCCAAAGAGAGTTCATGTCCTTTTCACCCTAACATGAAGAGGAGGAGTTTGTTTTTTTGGGTTTAGGATCCAGTTTTTTTAGCATAAAGAGACTGGTTTTTTGAGAGAGCGCGAGAGAGGGGGGGGTGACCCCTGGTAGACTCTCTCCCGGTAGGCTGTGTGCTTCAGAGCTGGGTTAATAGCTCTCGGTAAGGTCCTTCTAGACGGGGTAAATATCTCTCGAATTTATTGGTTGTTGGCTGAGTGGAATGATTTGATGAGAGAAAGTGTATGAACCTTTATAAATACTGTGGGGAAAATCTGGTCCCCCGAAATTTGCGGATAGGAATGGGTTTTTGAGTGTTAATCCGCCGTCTGTGTCGGAAAAAACGGTATGAAACTGATGTGAATAAATGGGTGAATGGAAAGTTGAATGCGCTTTTTATTGTCACCGGTCTTTTTACGAGGAAATACCTCTAAATTCTATCGGGAGAATTTTAAAATGTCACAACTGAAATGGGCAGTTGAAATTAAAACATTTTGGTAATAAATGTAAGACTGTGAATTAAAGTTTCATTTGAACATGATCACAGCACGGTTTTTTTTGTTAATATGATTATAAGGTTGTGAGAGAGAAGGTAAAAACCCTGTATTAGTTTGGACCTATTTTTCTTCAAATAAACTGAATCCCACCTGTTGGATTGGGATCCTTTAAAAGACACCTGTGCCCTCCTCTCCTGCGTCAAAGGTAAGATTGCACCCTGCCACACACACACTTAGGTAGGAGCACACTCCATTTACTGATATCAAAATCCTTCGGGATCGCTTAAACAGATTAAAAGAGAGTTGTCTGAATTGAAACAGCAGTTAATTGAACCTGGTTCTTCGGGGGGGTTAGGAAGAGGTGAGATCTTGCTGACGTTGGTGGATCTGAGCCACGCAGCAAACTTACATAGACTCAATAATCTTCGGAAAGGTCAATTAGGAGGTCAGAGTAATTTACCGGAATAAATGATCAGGACCTCTCAAAACTCTAAACAGTACCTTCTCCACCACCCAGCGCTGACTCAGCAGACTCTTCTTTCCTTCACTTCCTGTCGTCTTCCACACCAGGATCAGGCCTGAGTTATCAGCAGAGAACATCCTGCGTCCTGACCACACACACATCAGATACCAGCTTTAAACAGAATACTATATGTATAAATGTGTTGATTGTGTGTATATAGGATATACATATTTTTATATATATTTGTATTTTGGATTGAGGGAAACGGTATTTCGATCTCTCTGTACACACAAACTGAAAGATTGACAATAAAGTAGACTTTGATATAAACGGTACTTCTCCTGTACCTGTGGGGTCGAAGCAGAGTGAGTTGATGAAGCTGCGGTGACCTTCGACCTCCTGCAGCAGCTGCCCGTTCACGTCGGGCACGTCGACCCTCCAGAGACGCAGCAGGGTGTCGAACCCCCCCGTCAGCACCAGGCCGGGGGCCGCA